ATAGTTTTGAAAGTTGAAAGTCCAACATTGGGTAGTCCCAAAAAAAAAAAAAACCACAAAAAACGGGCAGCAGGCATTTATTTTTCTTGAAGACTAGCAAATTGATATTTAAATGTATATGAAAAATAAAGAGTCAACAGTGGCCTTGAACCCTTGATAAAAGAGACAGAGCTTGAGGAATAATTAAGGTACCAGATACCAACAGCTATTATAAAGGTACAGTGAACAAGACAAGAACTTGGAAAACAGCTCAATGTAAACAATAGAGACCCAGCAAGCAAACCCACACTTACATTGCACTACTCTATGAAAAAAAATGTTACCATAGAACAATGAGGAAAGTATATCCTTTAACAAATAGCACTGGGTAAATTAGATAACCGTGTGGGGAAAATGTAACTTGTCACTCCCTCATATAAAGAGAATTAATCCCCGTTGGATCACAGATCTAAGTGTAAATTAATGGAACTTTAAAGATTTCAGAAGGAAATATAAGAAAACATGATCATTGGGAAGAAGGCAACAATTTTCTAAATAGGATACCAAAACATAAAATGCTAACTAAAAAAGCGGGGGAAAATGAAATGATTTAGGCTTAAGAACTTCAGCTAGTCAAAATAATTTGCTCTTTAAATAAATATTTACAATACTAAAAAATTTATAAATTATTACATGTAGATCAAAACTCCTTCTAATATGCTGAATGGACTGGACATGCCAATTCATTTGCTTATCACACTTTGTATGCATGAATCAAGCTATCATTAGGGGAGTGGGCATGGCTTAAGTGGTAGAGCACTTGAGCAAGCATGAGGCTCTGAGTTCAAACCCCAGTACAGTAAAATAAAAAAGTCATCACATTGTACTCCCTAAGTATGTAAAGTTAAAATATTAATACTCAAAACGGATGGCTAACACCTAAAAAAAGAGTACAAAACTAAGAAAAAGAGAACTGAAATTCTCTAACTCCTTTGTGGGAGTATTAATTGGTACAAGTACTTTGGAAACCTCAAAGAATCACATGTTGGATATGATTGTTGTTAAGAACTTCTTTGAATCACTCCCTTTCACACCTCAACTGAGGTTATAATTTTATGAAATCACAGGAAATTTGAGTTTCAATTTTTTAAAATGTTAGAGTAGAAGGAGGAGGTGACTCACCAGTGATCTCAGCTACTCCAGAGGTAGAGATCCAGAGAATCGTGATTTTGAGAGCAACACTGACAAAAAGTTATCGAAACCCCATCTCAACAAATAAACTGGGCACTGTGGCCTGTACCTGAGAACCTAGGCACAGAAGAGGCTATAACTAAGAGGATCTGGTCAGAGGCCAACTATGGGCTGAAAAATAGCTAAAGTGAAAAGAGCAAGAGACATGGCAGCAAATGGTAGATCCTCTTCCTGGAAAAAGTAAAACTGTGAATTCAAAGGTCAGCAACGTAAAAATAAATAAATAAAATCTAGATTGGAGAGGAAGGGAACTAAAGACAGAATGGGATTTTCAAATAAAATAAAAAGCAGTGCATGGATATAGCTTAATGTGTATTATTGTGGGTGATGGGTGTTTCTTTCTAATTGGTTTTGATGAAAATTCTTAAGATTCTAACATTTTTAAGGCTGGTAGGGGCAAATGGCCTTAACTGTGCACTGTTCTGACTGCCCACTCCTTAGTACAGTGTATGTTTGAGTTACTGACACTCAGTATAGGACTGTGTTACAAATGTGCTGAAATTTTATAATTATAAAAGAATATTTTCTTGTCATTATCCTAGTGCTCAATTGCAATTGTTGAGTCTCTCTATATGTATCTAAAGAATACAAGATAGCTAGAAGCCAAATTTATTCCTATCCAGGCTTATCTGCCCTAGTGATTCAAAGTTATTTCCTGACCTCTGCAGTCAGAAGATCCTCCGAATCCAAATGCATTTATTCCCTTTGATGAGGGAAGAGCCAAGTGACTTCTCTATTCAGGGTTTCTGGGAACTGTGAGGACAGCTGGCACATGAGGTTTGTGAGCAGGAAGGAGGTGGCTATGCCACACCGTGACTAAGCTGCTGGCACAGAGGTACAAGGCTGAGTCCTCTTGCTCTGCAGACTTGATCTTCAGTGTGGAGGAGGAGCCCTCAGGCCTCTCTGCAGAGAACCGATCATTAGGCATCCCAGATGTGTCTGTTGCAAATTCATTCTGGAAATAAATCAGAAACTCTGGGCCTTGCCCTGGATTCTGTTGGTACCAATAAAGAGTAACATGATCAGAAATTGGATCACATCTGAGAGTTACATTCTGTCCCTTCTCTGTTACCCTGTGCATAGGGGACTGGGAGACTCCAGCTTTGGTTTGGTCTGTGGAGACAAAAATGAGCAATAAAATGAAAAAATATTTTTAGTCATCACACACATACACAAACAAACATATAGAGTGGAAAGTCTTAGCTTTCTGAGGACTCACCTATGCCCAGGAGACAGAGGATAATCCAGCAAAGGAGCCTGGTGCCCATAGCAGAGTTAGGGTCAGATGAAGTCTCACCAGATCAGCATCCTTGTGAGCAGCAGCAGAGGTGGAGCCTCCCTTGTCCCTACATGGCAGTTCACACAGTGACATCACTGAGCTTCAGGATTAACTGATATTAATGAAGTCTAAAATACCAGCAACTCTGAGCACACCATTATATTCTGTCTGAACTAGTAAGACTGTCAGTCATAACAAGAAACCTTAAAAGATGAAAAATGTTGTGGCACAGAACTCAGGAAAATGGTACCTCGGAAGTGGATTTCAGCACACACTGATCTATGAGGTCCACTCTGTTGTCTCCACTCAGCACTGCAGGATGCTGCTCATTGGCTCCCACACTACATCTCTGGGCAGTCTTCTCACTTCTCTTTTAACATCAAGGGTGGATGTTGACACCTGGATGTTTAAACAGCACTTCACATAAGAAATTTGAATGCCACAAACATGCTCCATCAGAGATTCCCTGTTTCTGATCTTATTTTTTTTTATTGGTCTCACTCTGTCAACAATTAGAAAAGTGTAATGGTTTGAAAAGAGTAGGAGCTCCCTCTTTTGGGGGATGAGTGAAAGAATGGCCAGTCCTTGTTCAAGAAGCAATTTGAAATCACTGTTCAGAACAGCAGCGGAGGAAATGTTGCCTCTGCAGTAATCAGTCCAACTTGGAATTTTCCGTTAATTATAATGGTACAAAAAAATCCACATTAGTTCATTATTCTCAATTCTGCTTTTGATTCTCTACTGTTTATTATGACTCCTTTTGTATTTCAAAGGCACTTATAAAATAAATACTTGTTCAAAAACCTTATGTTCAGAAGGGCTAGAACCATTTTATCTTTAATATTATGGAGAGAGTTTTATAATAGAAAATGGACAGTTGCATTGATATTTGGGTTTCTTAACATTCTGAATGATGAGTAACTGATTTATTATTTTCATTCTTAACTCTTAAAACATAACTGACTATACCATTTATGTGAAGAACAACAGTCACTGACTTTGTCACAATGGAGAAGTTAGGTTAAATTTGAGAAGATGCTGAAAACTGGAGGAAAACAATTTAAAGAAGAACAGAGATGGTCTGTCAGTGTCTGAGTTGCTGGCCTAGGGACACCCTGCTGAGCATCCTCATTTAGGGAGAGAGCTGTTAGGCTGACCAGTTCTGAAGATGCCAATATGTCCTCACCCTCACAAGTTCTCTGTCAAAATGGTTTAAAGCTGGTGCTGGTGTGTTTCTAGCTTATGTCACCCCAATAAATGCTGCCAGAGAGCAGAGTTTATTCACATCTGTCACAGCCCCATCCCTGTCATGTACTTATAAGAAGTCTACATGAGTATGCTAAGGGACCCTTGGATGGAGAAAGAGGCCACATGGAAAATGTTTTCTAATTGAAGGGACAGAAATTTCCTATAGCCACCTTCCCCAGGAGATGAGGGACAATTGCTCAAAGGACAATTAAATCCCTTAAATTCCCTGAGATTGAAGTTATCATCTTTAACCCGCCTCAGAGGTTTGCAATGTGCATAGTTTCCTTTGACAAACTTTGTCACACTCAGGAAACTGATTCCAAGTACATCTAGGATAGATCTGCTAGTGTGAGAAAAAAGATCTGTCCAGGAGAACTGCATCTCACAGGGGGTGGACCAGGTAGAGGTCCAGTGCTATAAGGACGAACCCATGAGCTCTCTTCTCTCTGTGCTTATTGCCCATTCCTAGGTTTCCCTGGAAAGGCCCAGATTTTGGTGTCCTCCCACCAAGTCAGCTCTCTCCTGTCCTGTCCACTGCACAACATGAGGTTCAGGAATGAGTTAAGTTGATTTTAGAGAACAGTCTTATTATCACAGCTTTTGTTGCAGGGGTATAGGATTAGCAATGGGGAAAGGGATTAGAATGAGGATGGGGGTGATAGGATGGATCTTGAATCCTCCCAGGTATCAGTGGGTTCAAATACACATGATATTCCTTCAGTAGTGAGGGTTTTAGGTTGAACTCTTACATTCAGCACAGATTTAAGTGTTGTAAAACAACCCCTCCATTCAGGAATCCAGCAGTGTTTTGCTACCTGGTATTTTCCTAGGAATCTCTCAGCCTTGATCAATCACTTAGTATAATCACTGCTCTTCTGTCTTCTGTTTTTACAAGTCAGCACTCCTTCTATAGGAGCTGTGGAAAACCTGGGGTTTCATCCCTCTGTGCACTATCAATGTAAACAATGAGAGAGAGAGACAGAAAGAGAGAAAGAGAGAGAGCAAGATCTTCTAAAGAGCAACAATATTTATTTGAGAATGACATAGCAGGATACAGGGAGAAATTTACATAAGCTACTGGAATACCAAGTTCATTGGTTTTGGAGACCCAAGGCAGAAGCTGGCATAAGCTTGTTGGTGGGAGAGCTGTTGCTAAGCAAGCAAGTGTTATGTCCAGAGTTCTGTCTGAATTGTTGCAGTCTTAAAGAATGCTAAAGATAAACTTTGTTGTAGAAATCTGTTCATTTATGAGAGGTGGGCCAATAATGGAGTAGGTATAGAATGAGACAAAAATCAGAAAGTCCTTCAGAAAGTACTCATTTCAGATGACAGTCATGACACTTCATGAGCTCATAGGCTGAATTTAGTCTGTATCTGGCAAGTACAAGTTTATAACATAAGCATATCTAAAATATTCTTCACTCAACCCTACTGTTTCTTCCTACCTCCACTTGCTCTGCTCCTTCTAATCCTCCTCTTTCCATACCCAGGAGTAATTCATAAATACTTAATTCTACCTAGATTCTAACTTCCATAGGAAGGAATGAAAATGTCAAGTCAATGTTGAATATAACTGCACTATCTAGAAGAAGTCACTAACAATAATTGCTAATGTCTTATATTCTAAAAATTGCCAACAAACCAAAGTTTATTTTATCTCTGGAATAACCGCCTATGAAAATGGAAAATGAGTCATTTCAACCATCTGAGGAAAATTCTTTTGATTTCTCCTTGTCTGTTTTCTAAGATCACCTACCCCTTATTGTCAATGACCCCTAGGTCCAGGTCCCAGACCATTCCTCTAGGCTCCTCTGTCTCCTAAGCAAGCTTCAGGTTTTCATTCCTTCTGGCTGCCTTCATCTTCATGGCTCCTCAATGACAGGAAAGTTGGGTTTGGATGACAGAAGGTAAAAGAAAGTAGAAGCTATTCTTCATAGAGCTCTGGATGGTCTGCATCATGGTAGAAAACACCCTGTTCCTTATTTTCTAATCATTACTAACTATTGCCACCACTTCTCACCTTTTCATCAAGGTTCCAAATTAGTGGATATTATAATTGACAAAGTCTTAGAAGTAAACTCACTTCTATTTCCAGGTGTGATTTGAAAGATGGCTTTGTTATAAGCATTTAATAAAGGTACTTGTCATGGATTCCCACAGAAAACATTCACTCAGCTATGCATCTGTGCTTGAGAAGTTGATAAATGATTTGGGAGAAAGAATAGGGATATACCATAGCCTCACAAACAGTTGAGACACTGGTGTTAGGTTCTTGTTTCTTGGAGTCTTGTGGTCATGTTTGTGGGATCTTCAACTATTCTCTCTTCCTCCACAGACCTGTGCTGCTTTCTCTGTGAAACCAAAGATTATTCACATTTTTGACACAACTGCTTAGTTGCCTCTCCTCTTTCCTCCATATTAACAATGGCTCCTCACAGAGTTCTTTTCTCTATTTTGTCCACATCTGTAACTTCACTACATCTTTAACAGAAATAATTTCTCCAAATATCAGCTATTCTGTTGTCAGGAGACTAGTCCCTTGTCACTGAGGGTATCATGATGCTTTTACCTCCTGAGGAGTAGAATACACAAACCCTTCGGTATCTTCTGTCTAACCTGAAGACTGAAATCCAAAGTGGTCCTAGGTTCCCTCTTTTCCAACTCCTGTGTTGCCATAGCTCCTATGTCATTCCACACGGACAGAAGCAAACAGACTGCTACGATCATCTGGATCCAACATTTATTCATTCTGAGGATGCAAACGTGACCATTACAATTTCTGAACCTTACATCCCCATTTGTAAAACAGGGGTATTTTCCCTCACACTATTTTATGAGGGTTAATCGAGATACTATGGAGTCTGTGGTAGGCTTAATAAAAACCCATCCTTACCTCCCTCCCTGACACATTATGCAAGGAGTGTGGTTGTGGTTCTCAGATCAACTAGGGTTATGAATGACAGAAGACCTTAACCCATCAGCTAGGTGCTGAAGTTGGGCTGGCATGGGAACACAAAGTCACTTGGAAAAATATCTGGCAGAATTTCGAAATCATCCAGGAAAGTCATAAGATCATGATGAAAGAGTAAATGAGTGAGTGCAACTTTCTTCCCCATTGCATAAAATAAAGTATGTAACAAGTACATGTCATCCTGAAAAAATAAAGACCAATGTCGATTTAAAGAAAGGGTATGCATGTGACAGTTATCCTGTAGAAATGTTCCCATTTTTGGAGGTGGATTTAGATAGACAAATTCACATGAACATAGACACGAGGCATGTAGAAAAACTACAGTGTTAATATTAATTACCAATGAAGTTGGCTTGAATTGGGAATTTGAGGGGTACAATAAATATTTAATTTATATAGCTGAATTTTAATTAAAAACCTTTTTTAATCACATGAGAGTTTAAAACTCAGAATCTTGATCATATAGCAGAATTTTAATGTCTAAATTGGCAAAGTAAACAGAGGCTCTTGCCATGGGGTGCCTTATAAAGGCTTATTTTCTTAAACAAACTGAGGTTAAACTGAGCTACATAGAAGAATTGAACCTTCTAGTACCCGAGGCAGGTCTCAGACTAGGAAATTGGGTAAGGAAGTAGGTTTACACCTTTGATGCTTATGTAAGTGTGTGCTGTTTATTAGCTAACATGGTTCTACCTGATCTGATCACCACAAGGAAGCAGGTTCTGACCCCTAATTCTAGAGCAGTACAATGTCAAGAGGGTAGAAGGTGGTAGGACAACCAACTCTTCTGGTTTCCAAGATGTATTTCCTTGGATGCTTTCTTGATAAAATACATTTCTTAGATGCTTTTACCTACTAAATGGCACAGCAGAAAGAAACAAGATGGTGGCTAGAGGGAGGAAGCAGAAAGCAAGCCTCCTATAGTGAAATCTTGGAGAGACACTGGAGACACACCTTGCAGGCAAAACCACTGAGAAGAGGCAAAACTTTGACCCCTCCACACCTCCAACCAGTGCAGAGAATCTCCACTTCACATTAAATGGAGAAACCAAGAGGGCCCCTGGGTCGCCAGTCACCTG